TGTAGCTGAAGCATGACATCTGATGTACCTGAGGTATGACATCGGATGTAGTTGAAGTAGGACATCTGATGTACTCGAAGTATGACATCAGATGTAGTTGACATCTGAGGTACCTGAGATATGACATCAGATGTAGCTGAAGCATGACATCTGATGTACCTGAGGTATGACATCAGATGTAGTTGAAGTAGGACATCTGATGTACTCGAAGTATGACATCAGATGTAGTTGACATATGATGTACCTGAGGTATGACATCAGATGTAGCTGAAGCATGACATCTGATGTACTTGAGGTATGACATCAGATGTAGTTGAAGTAGGACATCTGATGTACTCGAAGTATGACATCAGATGTAGTTGACATCTGATGTACCTGAGGTATGACAGCAGATGTAGCTGAAGTAGGACATCTGATGTACCTTAGGTATGACATCAGATGTGGTTGAAGTAGGACATCTGATGTACTCGAAGTATGACATCAGATGTAGTTGACATCTGATGTACCTGAGGTATGACATCAGATGTAGCTGAAGTAGGACATCTGATGTACCTTAGGTATGACATCAGATGTAGTTGAAGTAGGACATCTGATGTACTCGAAGTATGACAGCAGATGTAGTTGACATCTGATGTACCTGAGGTATGACATCAGATGTAGCTGAAGCATGACATCTGATGTACCTGAGGTATGACATCAGATGTAGTTGAAGTAGGACATCTGATGTACTCGAAGTATGACATCAAATGTAGTTGACATCTGATGTACCTGAGGTATGACAGCAGATGTAGCTGAAGTAGGACATCTGATGTACCTTAGGTATGACATCAGATGTAGTTGAAGTAGGACATCTGATGTACTCGAAGTATGATATCAGATGTAGTTGACATCTGATGTACATGAGGTATGACATCAGATGTAGCTGAAGCATGACATCTGATGTACCTGAGGTATGACATCGGATGTAGTTGAAGTAGGGCATCTGATGTACTCGAAGTATGACATCAGATGTAGTTGACATCTGATGTACCTGAGGTATGACAGCAGATGTAGCTGAAGTAGGACATCTGATGTACCTGAGGTATGACATCAGATGTAGCTGAAGTAGGACATCTGAATGTCCTAGTCGATCATATGTCGAATATCCTCTTTGGTTATCTGAACCATGTGAGGTGGAGCTGGTTGATGAGGGTCTTGCTGAAGGTTTCGAAGTGGATCTGGGGCGCGACCTCAAGTGTCATCTTGAAGATAGCCTCGAGGATCATCACGAGGGGGTCTAGAAGGGGATCTCGGTCACGACGTCAGGTGACGTCCTGAGACATGTCAAACCTGAACCTGCACGTGGCAAGTTGGTTGTTGTTCTGAGGTTGTGCTATGGGTGGAGCCACAGGAGGAGCGTTGGTTTCCGTTGTGGCGATGCGTTGTGCTACTGCTTCAGTAGCAACGCGGGAAGATGCTTCCGTAATCATAAGTTGAAGGGCCTCCTCGGTTATCTGAACCGTTAGAGGAGCAAGTAGAAGTTGATGACCCATGGCGAATGAAATGTTTTGGGGGCACTGTGAACCCCCAGGGAGCCGATAACCCTTGGCGAACGAAATATTTTAGGGGCAGATGTAAGCCCCCAGGGAGTCGATAACCCTTGGCGAACGAAATATTTTGGGGGCGATGTAAGCCCCCAGGGAGTCGATAACCCTTGGCGAGCGAAATATTTTGGGGGCAGATGTAAGCCCCCAGGGAGTCGATGGCGGTGGTGCCATAGGTGGCTCCACATGTGGAGCAGGTGCTGGTATCGCGTTGGGAGCATTTTCTCCCATCGTGGCGATATATTGGGTCTCGGCCTCTGTGACAGCGCGAGTTGAAGCTTCTGCTATCATGCGTTGAAGCGCATCCTCGGTTATTTGAACCATTTGAGGAGCAGGGAGTGGTGGATCGGCGAGTGGTGGGTCCCGAGGGGGGATCACCTGAACCTCGCGAGGCGGATCCATGGGATGTGGAGGAGGTAGCAAGCCAGAGCCTCCACAAGGTGGGAGGTCGTTAGCTGTGTAATTTTCTCTCCGAGCAGACGCCTCAGGAGGATCTTGTTGGCTACGTGATCTGGTTTGCATCGTTCCCACAGACGGCGCCAAAATGATGATGCTAATTACTAGATCACCTAGGGTGGTGTAGAAAACGAGCTGGGAGAGCAAAGCAGATCAGTAGCTTGACAACTTGATGATCCTGAGGTACCTGCGATCATAGAACACATAAGCTAAGCCGGGGGTTGATCCGGCGGAAACCCCTCTCGAGATTAGAGATTGAGCGCTGATCATAGAAATAGTTCAGAGAATACCATTAGTAGTATTGCTCAGATAATAGGACGTACCTTAATAAAATGAGTAAAACCTCTATTTATATGTCGATTATTGGGTTGGGTTTGCTTTGTTGGGCCCAAACCTTACTTGAAGGTGTTTGGGCCTCGGTGATATTAGTCTTCGATATTGGGCTCG